AAGTTTTTTGGACCAGGCCAAGTTCACATCCAGAAAATGAATGCCCAAAAATTCATGTTGGGTTGAGTCGGGATTGAGGTAGGCCCGCCGAGTTCGGATTGCTTGTCCCCCTAGGGACAGAAAATTTTTTGTCCCGTCCAATACTATTCGACCACGTCATGTTCTCCCACTTATTGAAACTAACGGAATTAGGATGCTAACGGGCGGTGTGGACTTCAGATTTTATCAAATTTGTGTTTAACTCCTCCTCCCTTTTCATTCCATCATGGTCATTCCCACCCGATTTCTCTTCTTCTTCCTCTCCTCTCCACCCATTGCCCCTTCATTGGAGATGAAACTACATCTGAACCGCTATAAATCTCTCTCTTCTCTTCTCCTCCCCCCACTGACACGCTGTGTCGTGACGCGAATCACAACCTCTCCCGTACGGATCAACAACTGATGTGTTGTCATCCAGGAAAGACATAGGTGCCTTACAATTGAATGAAGTCTTGGGCTTGAAGCCTCTTGAGTTCATGCAAGATAGAGTAAGCTTAGGAATGGTGGTTGAGCTGATATGTGGGTGTTTGATTCAGTTTTAGGACGATTTCTATCAAACACTTGATCAGTTCTTTTGAGAGACTATTTGGCTTTTTCATGTTGGTCTCCTCATCTGCTAGAAGGTTCTGCTTTTGGCTTCTCACATTGCATCTTCTTGGTATTTCAGCAAACTCATATGTTCCTGCACATATGTAAGCAATGTTATAAGCAATGGAAAGTTGGAAATATAACAGATGGTAATTAATCCTCCATAAACGAGATATGAAGATATAGCAACGTTAAGTTTGTGGGATTTCAGCTTCAATTTGGCATAAGATATTTGGTGGGTTCCACCTCCATCGGTAAGGTGGGCCCAAGGCTCTGAATGTCATTCATGTTGCTTAAATATAACTCAGGCTCTGTTATTGTAAGAGATTACCATTTAAACTCGTGGAGTTCATGGTCCAGAATCTGAAGCAGCAGCTACAGAAGCTTTTAGTTGTTGGCTTCTATAACCTTCTGCATCATAGGGTGGAGGTATGGGTGATATTTCAATGTCTACCAGTCCTTTTAGGCTTTCTAACCCATAAACCAAATGTTTCTCTTTTAGCTGTCTCCATCGATGCTGTTGTACTCGTTGCAGTTCACATTCTCTGTTCTATTTCTTTTCCTTGCGATGCGAATCGCAATCCTCTCCCATAAGGATCAACAACTGATGTATTATCATCTAGCAAAGACATGGGTTGCGATTTGTGTCGCGATGCAGTGTGTCAGTGGGGAGGGAGGAGAAGAGAAGAGAAGAGAAAAGAGAGAGAAATATTTGCAGCAGCTCAGATGTAGCTTTGTCTCCAATGAAGGGGCAGTGGATGGAGAGGGGAAGGAGAAGAAGAGAACTCAAGCGGAAATGACCGAACTATGGAATGAAAATGGAGGAGGGGTTAAACAAATTTGATAAAATCTGAAGTCCACACTGCCCATTGGCATCCTAATTCCCTTCTTTTCCCTGCCTTTTCCTTGAAACCAAACATAATCTTAATATCAAAATAAGTGGGAGAACATGAGATGGTCGAATAGGACGGGACAGAAAATACTGGACGATCCGAACTCAGGCCTGTCCAAGTTGCATGTCCTGCCAATATCATACATCATAATAGTAATGGAATCCACATCTACTACCCACAAAACTACAGCTGCACATTCGGAACATCTCAGTTCTCATTCATGGGGGAGATGGGAGATGTTCCCAAATCCCGATACATGGCTTTAGTGACTTATGGGTAAAAATGTGGCCGTGTGAGTAACAAGATCCGAGCTAGTAGTAATGAACCACCTTAACCAATCTTTTGCTTTACATGGTGGCGATAACGCTCTCATGCTCAAACTATAGTTATCACTTAATTTGTTTTTAACTCAACCCTCATTCTAGAACTTGTGAACGTAGATCTCCAACTAGAATGGAATCCATTATGGGGAGGAGCAACCGCAACCTAAGCCTTATCCCTTTTTTTTTGTTCTTTTATGTCTTACAAATAATCTTAGACTGCATTGAATGCAACATTTGTGTCATTTCAACCAAATTTTTTAAAACCTACCCAAGAGGCTAAACTCTTTTGCTTCCCTCTGGATGTAAAGGTCACCAGTTCAACCGCTTAGGTTAACCTTGTTGTCATGACAAATTAACAATAAAAACTGATAAGAAAAACACTAAAAACCTAGTAAGCCAAGAAATTGGTTGAGTCACTGGCTCAACCATTTGATTAATGAATTATTGACCAAATATGGGAGTGGGAAGTTGACCAAAACTAGAATTGTGTGACTGGGTCAGTGGGTCATTGGCCTGATCTGGCATTTCCTAAAAAGTCGTACATTCATAGTCATAGCATTGTTTTCAAGTGGGTGTTTATCAGCTCCTCTCAGAGCGCTCCTCACAACACGTTTCAGTCATATGCATCTGGAACATCTCTATACTTATAATTTTAATTCATGGAAAGATATTTCTGAAGTGGGTGTGAGGCACACTTTGTGAATTGTGAGTGAGAGAAGATCCGAACTCTCTTACAATAACAGGTGGTTGCCCTTCACTGAAAGCCTGCAATGGTGTATGATTTCTAAGGACAATGTCAGACGGGGAGATCTCAGAAGTTTCCTTTTTTTTTTAAAAAAAAATTTATTTGAGAAAACTTCACACAACAGAGAAGGCAGTTGAGATATTCCTAAGCCATTAAAATCGAAAAGTTGTACATCCTGTTGTGAGTGTATTTCATTGATGACAGTAAAAGGGTATGGAGGATATTATTAATGATGATGATCCACAGTGTTTTTATTGTTTCACAACCACACCCTTTGCTCACTTGTCAACTCTCAGGTTTTTAGGCAAGAAGGATAGATACTTCATACTTGCCAAAAGAAATGAAACAAGAATGCTGAATAATATATCAAGCTTACCATACAAAATGGTAGCTCCAAGTGGATTCCACGTAAAATTAACCGTGCCATTCTAGAGATTGAGTAGAGTAGGGATGAGGCCAGAAATGAACAAATTTAATTTGACTGTAGAATAGAGTGATTATTGCTTAGAGAGGGAAGGGAATAAAAAGGAGGAATTAATGAAGAGGGAAGAGGCGAAGAGGAAGAGAGTGGGGTCTCGGCACCGCAGTTTATACTGATGACTATTGACCGCTGAGATAATAAAACGACTGCTCTCCACTCTCCCTCTCCCTCGTGGCCTTGTCTGTTCTACCCCCACACTTCACCAATTTTTATTATCTTTGGTTTTTACTCCGTCCTTCATTTCGAAAACGGTTAAAAATAGGAAAATTAAAAATCTTTTCCACTCAAACGATCCGTTATTACTTATTACCACACTCATGAACTCCATGCATTGACTAAAATACCCTTTTCATTTTTATTTCCTAAACAACATTACTCATAAAATATATGAAATTCTCAACTACTCAATCTCCCAACTTATTTTTCATAGCCATTCGCCATTACGTTCACCTAGTCCCAATTACCATGGATTTTGCTCCACAACAATTTTCCAGTCTATCTTGCCAAAATATAAAACACAAACATTGTTTCGATTATGCCTCCCCTTCAAACAATGCCATGTCTTATATCCAAGAGATATATATTTCATTTCTTTTTAATTGTTTTTCCTGCTATTTCATTCATCCTAAAATCTCATTTTCACATTTAAATTTTACATTTCACTAAAGTAATCATCTATTGTCAAAATTTTACTTCTGGGAATGGACGCAAATCAAGTTTTTAACAAGTTATTCGAGTTTGATTTACGAAAAGTTTGATAAATGTTGAGTTAAAATTGAGTTGTAAACTAAAGTCGTATTCAATATATGTAATTTTTTATTTGTATATAAAATTTGGCTCTCTCAAGCTTAAGTCGAGCCAAGTTCGAATAGTCATATAGGGATGGCAATTTTTCCCATCTCCGACGGGGACCCAACTTCCCCAACCCAATGGGGTTGGGGATGGGGATTGAGGTCCCCACCCTGCCCCAATCCCAATCTTATATATATATATATATTAAATGTTATTTATATTAAATATATTATTATATTATTTATATTTATATATCAAAATATATTTAAAATATTATTTATAATTTAAAATTTTTTATTTATTTTAAGTAATTTTATTTTTCAAAAATATATTGTTATCTAAAAAAAATCAAGGATTTGAGTCCCCGCAAGGAACCCTTCCCCACTAGGGATCGGGGGAAGGACAAATGTTATCCCCAACAAGGATCAGAGACAAAAATGAGAGTTAATTTCAGAATTAGGGTCAGGAATGGAAAATATGATCCCCACCCCGTTTGCCATTCCTATAGTCATATATTCATATATTCATCTTGGCTCGGGTTGAATCCACATGTAGGTGGTAGGCACCTTTTCATGGTGTTTGGAAGCGTGGGCGCTTTTTGGGACCAAATTTCAAGAAAAAATGCCCATACTTTCAAGACCTGTGTTTTACAAAAAAAAACGCTTCTGCCACGCAAGTAGTGAGCAACACTATGCTGTTTGGTAAGGTGGTTTTCATCACCATTTTTCATGTATGTGCTGATAAGTAAGCACCACATAAAATATACATCAGTCAACCGTTGGAGGAAACAGTTCACCAATACATGAAATGCCAATATCAGTAGAGTCCCAATTTTCAAAGCATGTCCAATTAATAATCGACTGAACCAAACAATGAGAAACGTGGGCATTTGTTGAAACGCTTGTGGATCCAACATGACACCGTTGTTTTTTAAAAAACGGCCACAGTTCTAAACGTTCCCCTTGATGGAATCACCGAAGAATTCTGCTCTCTTTTGTTTTTCAGAATTCTAATCTAATTTTGAAAAGGGAAAATAAAATTAAAAAATCGCCCAAACAAGGGTGTTTTAGTAATTTGATAAGAGCAGCCCTCCTTAAACTGTATCTCGATTCTCGAGTTTACAGATTCGCCCTCTCAGGGTGCAAAGTCCAAAATTCCCTTGACTCCTCACCCCTTCAAAGTCGAAACCTCTCCTTCCTTTCCTACCGTGTCTTCTTTTCCTTGGAAGCCATGGCGTTACCACAGTGTCACTTTACACTGTTTCTACGATTGTTAGGGTTTCTGATCCTCGTCGATCTTCATCAGGTTCATGCCGATTCAATTCACGATGTCCTGAAAAGTAAAGGGCTGCCGGCGGGTCTCCTCCCCAAGGCCGTGAAGTCGTTTACTCTCGACGAAAATGGGCGCCTTGAAGTGTTTCTAGATCAGCCTTGTTTGACGAAATTCGAAGGCAGAGTCTATTTCGATAGCGTTGTGAAGGGTAATCTCAGCTATGGCGAGCTTATAGGAGTTGAGGGCCTCTCCCAAGAAGAACTATTTCTATGGTTACCCGTTAAAGACATTATACTCGATGATCCATCTTCTGGTCTTATCTTATTCGACATGGGAGTCGCTCATAAGCAGCTCTCGCTCTCTCTCTTCGAAGATCCCCCAGAATGCAAGGCGGGAAATCAAGGGACTCCTATTTTAATATCAGGTTCTTGATCCAGACCTACCAGGATCTCTCCTTCTGTTCTGTTCACCATTTTCTTTTATAAAATATTAAGGGAATCAAATCATTTTCATTTTATTTCTTCGGAGCCAACTGGGGTTTTCATTTCTTCTTGACATGTGTTTCATTTTTAATTGAATCGAATTTTTTCCCCTCAATCAATTTATAGACGGATGCAAGTATACAACTGGTTTGAGTATTCACCGTCGTTATACAACTGGTTTGAACTTCAACTCTGTTTCTTTGTTTGGCTGAAGTTAGAATAGGAATCCCCTGATTTCCCACGTTTTCTTTTGTTTGGGTGTTCATTCTAGTTAATGGCATACAAGGTTTAACCAAAGACTGGTTGTGGAATTGCTGGTGTTTTGCAGAATGATGGAAGTAAGGACAAAGGATTTGTGATTCAGAGATGACACAGTTCCTTATTTTCAGTTGATTTTAATTTAATTGAATTATCTATGTAAATGTTATAAGGATTTAGGACCGTAAATATCTGAACTTGTATCCAACTTTCTATTGCATATTTTTTTAATTCATATTTTACCAGTTTAGATAGAGATAAGAATAGGTAAAGACTAAAGAGTTTGTTGGTAATCTCAAAATAAGAATTCCTAATAGCAATTGCCAGTGGAGCTGTATCGAAATTGGAGTATTAAGTTCTGGACTTGGACTGTATTTCAATCTTTCTTCTCATATTCAACAGGAACTGATGAGCAGTGGTGAAATACTAGTATCTAGCCTAGGAACCATTCAGTTGCATCTAGAATGAAATAAAATGAACAATCTGCTGAAAATTGCAGTCTGGTGTTTTCTGCAATCTGGTTAATGGGCTCTGTGACAAGTGGACCTTCCAAGTTTTTTCCTTTTGAAGCATCGAGTCTCTACTATTTGCTCCAGTTTCTGGATTCCATCATGCATGAGACGCTAGCAGTTCCTGCATTTACTTCTTCCCTAACGCCAGAACCGAGATCTGAGAAGTGAGAAGAGCCTCACCTGCCAACCTCTTGTGCTCTTTGAAATAGACTTTGTATCTCATTGACAATGCATTGGATCGATTTTTGTAATAGACTCTGTTTTGGTTTATTGGAGAAGAGTAACCAGCAGAACTCCAATTATGGATATTTTAAAAATCTCTCAATCTAAACCACAGGATCTGAGAAATGTAACTATCCATTTCTATACACTTCAAATGTATTCTATATACTTAAAAAATGTAATTATCCGGCCTTCAAAAACAATGTAATTATCCATGTCAGTACTCTCTCTTCTCCTCATATTGCTCCTCAACCCCTTATAATTTTGTGAAGTTTTTGAAATTTTAAGAAGTAAAAAAGGGGGTTACTTAAACTAATCCACAACCAATTCAGTTTCCATTTTATTATGAAAGTGAATATAATCACTTCCCCATAGAAGATGGGGATCTTTTTTACACCAACTTGTGCATCAGTGGGTTCTCTTCTACAATGCCAATAAAATATTCCATTTGGTATATTACTTCAAACTAGCAAGTAAACTCATGCAATACATGGGTTGTCAAATATGGTTTTTGGCATCACTTTGGGTCTTGTGTTGGCCCTTAACCTGACTCAGTACATCTAATTTATACATCTATAACTCTGTTTTATTAGAGAGAGTCAAGAAGAATTAAAAGACACTTAAGAGAAAATGAAGAATTTAATGGGAGGGGAGATAATATTAGAATTTAATAGCTAGGGGAGATGTTACAATATATATATATATATATATACACACATATATATATATATATACTGTGAATGTAGTGTGAAATTTTTTTTTGAACTAAAATTATCCTCTATTCTTTTGTTTGACAAAGGGTATAAAAGTTATTTTATTATAGTTTTAATGTCAGCTTTAATGGCCACTATAATGACCATATTTGTGTATTTCATCAATCTCTATTTACAAAGGTTGAAAATGTAACTTCAATTATTACTTTCAACCTTATTTAATCTCCTCTTATTAAGGGGGTGTTTTGTAGTGTAGATGAGAAATTGGTGAGTGTGGACTAGTCCACACCACCCTGTGGCAGGGATCATTCCACACCACACCACAGTCCACAGCTATTCTGAACTATGGACAAATTGTATGGACTGGACCAGTCCACACCCATAGTGGCATTTTATAGGTGTAGTGTGGACTAATCCACACCACACTTTTTGATTCCATGTATCTCATATACATTTATGAATGATCTACACCAACATTTTAAAAAACAATCGAGAAACGGAACCATTATGGCCACTGGTTTTCGGGTCGATGGTTCGATTGTCCGATTCGAACAGATGACCCGTTTTGACAAACAAATTAAAAAATAGAAAAAAATTAAAAATAAAAAACAATAAAAAATTGTTAAACGGGTTGACGGTTTGACCGCTCAGGTCAATGGGTTGTTGACTTTTTTAACGGTTTTTGACCAAAAACTGGGTTTGGAGTAAAACGAAACCACTTTCCTTGATGGTTCTCGGGTTGAACGGTTCTATTGTTTAGGTCAACGACGGTTCGAAAACCTTAATCTACACATTTAATCATAAATATCTAATTTTTGCATTTTATATGATAAATATATTGAAAAATGCATCAATGAATTAATATTAACCAATAAATATTAATTTATTTTATAAAAAAATAGTAAAATAATTAAAAGTATATTTTAAATATTTAAAATATAATTTTATTGATAAAACATTAAAATAAAAAAAATAAAAAATTAAGTAAATTGATATTTTATTGACAAAAATATTAAAATGTGAAACAAACAATAGGGTGGCGTTTTAGGGAAAGTGTGAAGTAGGAGATCAAAAATCAATTGTGGACAGTCCCTAACCATGAGATTTTGCCATGGATGAGAAATTGGGGTGTGGACGGGACCTATCCATGCTATATTGGTCGAACGTGACTAAATCCTGTGGACGGGACCGAAACCCATTTTCTCTTATTAAATCATATATTTAAGTTATTTTTCACCAATAAGTGGTACTAATTAGATCTATCTTAATATTTTTAACAATATAAATTCATACATTTTAAAATTGGCTAAAAAACAAAAAAACATTCTTTATCCAAGTGATGGCTAAGAAATTCAACCATTCGAATCAAATTAATAAACCTATGAAGTCATAGTTAGGTAATAAAATTTTTAAAATAGAAATAAATATAGAAAATTACAAACATGTAAAAAAATAGACACATTTATGATACTTTTATTAATCAAATAAAAAATTGATGTCATAAATTATTTTACTATTGGACAAAGATTAATAGTTCAACCTTTGGTTCAAATGTGTTAACATTTAATGTCATAAATAAATAATAATAATTAATAAAATATAAAAATACAAAAATAAAAAAATACATAAATATTGCAAAAAAACATTCATGCACATGTATAATATTAATTAATTATCATATTAAACAAAAAGTAAGTGTGACATATCATAATTATTTTTACACAAAAATGTAAAACAAATATAGAAGAAATTGAACACATCTATAATTCTATATTTACACTACTATTAAAAATATAAATAGTATTGTGGAACTCTCTTTTGACTAAAATCAATGTTTTTAAAAACCAACCCAAAAATGGAATTGATTTGGCTTTCGGTTTCCAAGTCAATGGTTCAACCATCTCTACAACACCGCTTGCTCTCTTCTTATATCTCTCTAAATCTCTCTCAAATCCCAAACCATTTGATTCATTGGTGTGTCTCAGATTTTAATATAAGATCGGTATTTGATTTCTCATCTCTTGCATCAAATTTTTAATTTCTTCATTGGAGTTGCAATTTTTTTATTATTACAACTGAAAAATAATCACAAAAATGAGAAAACTCAAAATCAAAATGGAATAACTAAAAATCCTAACTAATTTTGGCCATAGGGAATAATCGAATAAGATTTTAAGATATGAAACTTTCTTTTGTCATTTTTTATTTTCTAATTTCCAATTTTAAAATAAATAAATAATTTAGAATTAGTTTGAGAGCAAACCGAAAACCATTAATTGGGTCAAACATTTTAATAGTGAAACTTTCCGGATTAGTAGTTCTCTGACCATTCCAATATTTTTTTTTTGTAAAATTGCGGTTCAGGGCCAAAACAGAATTAGTGACCTGACTAGTTCCTGGGCCAAAACGGTTCGACCATTTGATCTGGTCTGGTTTTAAAACATTAACTAAAATATTCATTTTTTGAATTTAGTTCGTATTTAATTGTAAGGTTTAAATTGTAAATTGAATTACTACTTTTCACCTCTTCAATTCCCTCTATTTAAAATTTTCATTTTTCTGATAAATGAACAAAAGAAGAAAGATATATACTATATATAAAAGTGCGGATGCAAAGTGAAAGTGTTTTTGGACTAAAATTATCCTCTATTTCTTTGTTTGATAAAGAGTATGAAAGTCATTTTATTACGACTTTAATACCAACTTTTGATGGTCATCAAAATGCCCATATTTGTCTATTTATTACATCTCTAACTATAAGGGTTGAAAATGTAACTTCAATTATTACTTTGCACCTCATTTAATCCCCTTAAGTCTTATACTTAAAGGTATTAACTACCATTTTCTCTTATTAAATCCTATATTTAAGTTATTTTTCACCAATAAATAGTAGTAATTAGATCTATGTCAATATTTTTAACAATATAAACCCATATATTTTAAAAGTGGCTAAACAAATACAAACATTCTTTATCCAAGTGATGATTAAGCAATTCAACCATTGAAATCAAATTGATAAACCTATGTAGTCATAGTGAGGTAATAATATTTTTAAAATAGAAATAAATATAGAAATTACAAAATGTAGAAAAAATTAGACACATTTATGATACTTTTATTAATCAAATTAAAAATAAGTGTAATAAAAAGAATTTTTTATTGATAATTAAAATTAAATACATACTCTAAAACTAACAAAAAATGAAATTATTTTACTATTTGGTAAATATCAATATTTCAACTTTTTGGTTAAATGTATTAACATTTAATGTCATAAATAAATAATAAAAATTAATAAAATATAAAAATACATAGATGTTGCAAAAAAAAATTCAGGCATATGTATAATGTTAATCAATTGTCATATTAAACAAAAAGTAAGCGTGACATATCAGAATTATTTTTATGCAGAAATAGAAAGAAAATATAGAAAAAATTGAACACATCTATAATTATATATTTACATTATTATTAAAAATATAAATAATATTATGAAACTTTCTTTTGACTAAAATACTCATTTTTGAATTTAGTCTCTATTTAATTGTGAGGTTTAAATTATAAATTGAACTACTATTTTTCACACCATTCAATTCCCTCTATTTAAATCTCACATTTTTTGATAAATAAACAAAAAAACACACACCAAAAAGATAAAATATTATAAAAAGAAGAATCTAACAAGTAGGTAGACCTGTCAATGATACTTGAAACTTCACAAGTCGATCCGATTATCACATATTTAGATGAACTGTTCATGTAATCAGATTTGGATTTTGCAATATGCATTCAATTAATAATAAAAAGCAAAAAACATATAAAAACAAAATAAAATAAAAATACGTATTTATAGAAGTTTTTGGATTCATTATTACTATCATTATCATCATTTAGAATTTTGTGTGTATAATTTAAAAAAAAATGTTCTTATTAAAAAAAATAATTTATCAGAAAAAATTAAGACAAGATAGGAGGAGGATGTGGCGTGTATGAACATTGAGATGAAAAGACTCTTGGTCTCTCTTCTCCTTCTAGATATAATTGGTAATTCGTGTGGGTTTCTGATTACTTTAGTTTTTAGGTACTTTTTGGGCACCATAAAAATTGCCATAATGCCATATCTATACTGAAGATGAATTTGTTCTTTGTGCTCTTTTAGTTTGTGATCATGCTGAAGTGTGCTAAGCTGTAATTCTTTGGTTTTTGTCATTTAACTGATTTTGCTAGTTGTTGTAGTTGCTGGATCGATGGACGCAAAGTCTTTAAGGACAAAAAAGAAGAGATTCTCTCTTACTCAGGTTTGCTGCTTTGGGCTATTTGGAATATCAGAAACAAATTTGTTTTTGGAAGCTCTATTTCGGATCTGTCCAACTTTGATTTAT